TTTAAATCTGATAGACATTGTTTCATTTCAAAGGAAACGTTGCAAAAAAATGACACTGTCCAGGTAAAACTGTCCGACTGTGCTGCACCATGCATGCCGTGTACATTTTATTTGTAAATTTGTGTCAACTTTGATGAGGCAAATGAGCTGAAAGTACAGCACCTTAATAAACTTTAGTCTCACTATGATGTAGGTTGAAAAGGCTTAGTGGAAGAGGTTTAAACCGTGCACGTTCTTCTCTTGACATTAGCATTTTCCACCACCTTCTGTCCCACAGGAGTTCCCTTTCCGAAGAACTTCATGTCTGTGGCCAAAACCATCCTGAAGCGTCTGTTCAGGGTTTACGCTCACATCTACCACCAACATTTTGACTCTGTGATGCAGCTGCAGGAGGAGGCCCACCTCAACACCTCCTTCAAGCACTTCATTTTCTTTGTTCAGGTGAGATTATCTTGCTACAATGTGGGGTCTAATCACTGCGGTGTATCTGAAGCCCCATTCAGACTGGATTCCATATGCCAATTTAGCATGTTGTTGTCATTTTGCTATGTTGTTGAAAAGGAGTACCGAGTCATTTTTGTATAAAAGCTTCCTTTGCAATCTGCCTGCTGAGAAACTAGTAACATGTCTGTGAGATTTTCTATATGGCTCAAGTGTGACTAAAAGCAGTCATACTGGTAAAAGTATCCACAAGATGACAACAACCTTACAGAATACAAAATGTGCAGACAGTGTGCAAACCAGTCAAACCTGAACCTTTTTAAATGCTGCTCCTTGATCAGCTCGGGAGCAGCTGATGAGACCTTTTACAAGTTACACTTTAGTTATAGTAGCTCGATATGGATCCAGCATTGAAATGAACAAACCGCTCTCCCTCTGTGCAAGATAACAAGACATGTTAATCTCTTGTTTCATACATCATACACAACATCCTGTGATGCCCAGTCTTGTCTATGCCAGATGCCAATTATTATTTAAGCATTGAGGCTCTATGTGCAACAGTCCTATCATGTTTAACAAAGTCTACATGGCTTTTTTTATAACAGGCACTTGTGCATGAAAGCCAAAGTCATTACTTGAAACAACAGATGAACCCAGGAGGGGCTTAGGAGAATTTGACATGTCAGGATGATTTTAAGCGTGATAAATTAAATTCAATCTGAAGTACTAAGTTACACTAACATACCGTATTGTATTTTAACTGCATTGAGTGTTAAGTATTGTATTAGGGCCTTTAAACATGCTACTGCGACTTGTCCTATTTTTATACAGGACCACAGCACTCTAGGCTGCAATAAGTTGTCATGCAGGCTGTTTTAATTTACAAATTTAAACAAACTTAAATAATCAATCTGATTTTATATGTTTTTTTCCCCCGTAGGAGTTCAACCTTATCGACAGGCGAGAGCTTGCTCCCCTGCAGGACTTGATCGAGAAGCTTGGATCCAAGGACAGATAGACATTTCATCACACATTACCCTTTTTGTTTCTTTTTCTCCTTTGCTCCCTCTCTGTTGCCTCTGCTACCTCTACGACTTCTAGTCTCAACTCTTAAAATCTGTGCCTTCTTCTTTTCATTTCCCAAATGTTTGTACTGTACGTTTTCCTTTTATTCCTTCTGTTTTTTTTATACTGTCTTTGAGGCTTTTTTTCCATTTTGCCACTCAAGATCATTTAAATTGTGTAGTGTAGAAAGAATATTTTTTCACAGGACTGTGGTTAACGACTCTGTCAGAGCAACCTACTGAATGTTATATTGGACCAAGGACATTTGGAAGTTAAAGTGAAAACCAGGTTTTTTTTTTTTTTTCTCTTTCAGAAGTTGGTATAGACTTTTGATTGTCTAAACACGTTCTAGTTATTAATAGGCAATGTATTTTCTGTTAACTTTTAGCTATTGAAATTACGGTGACTAACCAAATATCCCAATCTTAGCTTTTTTTTTTTTTTTTTTTTCAATGTCTGTAGTGTGAAAGATGGCAAAAGTAGTGACATGAAGCAGCCGTTTTGGTGGACGTGTGAGGACCGTACAAAAGCTGTCATCTACCGGTATATAGCTCTCTGTCACAAGCTGGTTGTGTATCTGATAACCCACGTAAGCTAACCTGCTTCCTGATGACATGTTCCTTGACATGCAGTGATAGACAATTGTGAAATGCCTTTGTTCTTGCCCCACAAAAGGCACCACCATCGACTGCATCCTAGATGTTTCAGTTTGGTCATGCAATATTGTGTTTAGCACATTTTTCAGCTATTTTCTTAACTAAAGTAAAATGCGAGATATGGTGCTTACAGGGCTACAATTAATCTGCTTGATAAGTATTTTTAATAGCCATTTAAAGCTTTTATAATCATGGTCTCATAACGTAGTTTTATAGTAGAAATCATCCTGTCAGCAAAAATAGTCTAATGTGAATTTTTGGTTTTACTGTCATTTAAGTTCATTTCTGTGGTGCAGATTCATTGTGGAACCCTGCGTATTTGATCTTTTAATGCTGGTACTTTACTAAATATTTGCCTCCCTGGATTGAAAAAAAACAAACTTGCACCTGTGCACAACAATGATGAGTGGCATAAGATATACATAGTTTTACCACATTGTCTCTGTTAATCTTGGTGCATGTGCCATGGTCATTTCCTGCGCTTAACTCTGGCAACAACAGCGGGGCTGTTTGTACTGCCATCCTTCCACAAACGAATGCAGCTAGTATTCCTCATGAATGTTTTGTCTGGCAAACTTTTGAGCAAGGGAATTGGTCAATAACCTTCTTCATTTTTGGACCTAAATTCATATCAGACAATCATGTATCCAATTAAGAGCTGTTAGATAACTTGACACATCACCAGGAACAAACCAATGTGATTGGGTGCAAAATGAACACTCATTTTATTAATGTACCGCTTTTTAAGAAATTGAAAGCCTTTCAACAATGTGAAAAAAACATGATGTATTCACTTTAACTACAATTTATCCACTTTTATGCCCTACAGTTGCTTGTGAGGAAAAATCAAGCCAGCAACCATTAAGTTAATAATTTACAGGCATATCAATATAGTTTGCAAGACAGAGTTATTTTAAAGATGTTATTTGAATATATAACTAATCCTTTTTTTTAAGCTGGTCACATTTTTTTTTAAATGTATTGCTTTTTTAAAAAAAACTTCTGGCATGGAGTTGCATTTCATATTACATTGTAAAATAAATGGTTGACTTTACATTTTCAAATAAGGGCTTTGAAATGAATTAAAAGTTTTATATATTTACAACAATGGTCCAATCATTGGGTGGTCATTTTGGCCTGGAGGAGGTGTGAGGATGTATGTACTGCGTCCGAACATTTGATGTAAATAAAATCAGTGTTTTATTAGAACAAAAGTGTGCCTTACAAAAGTGAAAATGTCTGATATGACAGTATTGGTAGAACTCAATAAACACTGAAAGGTCAATGCTGTGTTTATTTTCATTTTACATTTATTCATTTAGCTGACGCTTTTATCCAAAGCGACTTTTTAATTGCTATACATGTCAGAGGTCCCACGCCTTTGGAGCAACGAGGGGTTAAGCGTCTTGCTCAGGGACACATTAGTGGATGGGTGACAGTGGGGGATTGAACCTGGGTCTCTCACACAAAAGGCATGTGTCTTATCCACTGCTCCATCACTACCCCCGTATACTGAATATAAGGACAAAAAAGTGTACATTGACTTTTAGTATAGTAAACCATTGTTTCCAGTTTTATACTTAAAATTTTGGTAACAGGATGTCTCGGTCCTGGTTGGTTCACGTATCTGGAAGCTGATTTATAATGTACATAAGAATCAAACTGTAATATGTATTTTATTGATAAAATAACTTGGAGTAATTGCGTTGTTACACAATTATAACTGTCATACATACACTGGACTGTACGCAAAATGGTTACAAACAGTCTCCACTATTACATTAAGCGACCTACAATTGCTATACATGTCAGAGGTCACTCACATTTGTAGTAACTAGGGGATAGGTGCCTTGCTCAGGGACACATTGGTTGTTGTGTCACAGTGGGAATCGAACCCGGGTCTGTCACACCAAGGTATGTGTCTTAGCCACTGCAACATTGCCACCCCATAACTGTCCCCTGTATAACGTTTCTTTGTTTGGATTAAGAGTTACTGTAGTGGCACGTTTTGTACAGCCACTCCTACGACTTCTATTATGATACATTTTTAAATAATAATAATCTTTATCTATAGAGAACTTTTAGACTTTTAGAGCACTCAAAAACCTTGTTACAAATTGCTGTATCAATTGCAAAGACAATAAAACATAAAAACAAGATATGCAATAAAAGCAAGAAAACACTTAAGAAATTAAAATATAGTAAAAAGAAAAACCAAAAATAAAATCATCTATAAAGGCATGTTTTAAGAGATCGAAGAGTTCACTGGCTCAGCCGAAATGATTTCCACAATAAAGCACAAATATCAGTACACTCTGTAATTTCAAAAAGCTGGTTCTGATATTTGTAGGCGCAAGGCTATCGCAAGCTGCAAATGTCAAAGAACTTAGACACATTCCCACTTCCGGTGTGGACAGGAAGTAAAAGACAGGGAAACGGAGTCCGGTGTCTTACTTGCTGAACCATACAGTTTATGACTTGAACACCTTCATCACATTTTATTAGAAATACTGGTAATATCAGATATCGGATCAAATTGAAAAGCTGTGGCACCGGGACGTTTTTACAAGTGCACGGTGTTTACTCAACCAATCACGTTCGAGTTTGGAGAGAGGGGGTATTTTGCCCTGACGTTAGACTAACATTTAGCTTTAACCATAGACTGGATCTAAAAAAAAAACGTAACCTCTATAAAATGTACGCCCCTTACAAATGCAGACCATTGTGTGATATTACAAATTGTTAAGGTAGGATTTGGTTTGGTTGTGCCAATTTTAAAGGAGGCGGAGTGGATATGTACGTCACGTAGACAACCTGAGAGGCATCACTCGGGGATAATAATCCCAGTTCAAGGAGGAAATAACGAACTGTTTTTTACAGGCTATCATAAAGTAGCTAGTCATTTGTCTACGGGTTTCCTTTTCGTTAACAACATCTATTTCAGCGGTGAATTAGTTGACGAACGGTTACCTCACACCGGCTGTCGTCGTTTTGCTAGCACCGGGGCAGCAAGAGCCCCAAATCCGATGTTACGTTAGCGTCCTGGCTTCTTCACAAAGAGTGTATAAAGTTAGTTAGCTAAATTAACGCTAACTGTTACGTGGTGGTTGCTAACAGCGTATGTAATGTTAAGCTACGTAGCTAGCTAAAGGCAACATAGCTAACATTGTCTAACTTTTTGTTTTAGGTCGTTCAAGATGCTTGCTGATTAAAGTTGACTGGAAATCTTGTTAATCCAGGCCATCATTGTCAGCTAACGTTAGCTCCCTTCCTGGTGAGCAACCCGAAAGAGCTGTCAACCAGTTTAGCGGTTAGAAACATTATTAAGGTCAGGTTAAGTGTCACTTTCTCCTGATATGTCAGCCAAGTTGGTTTGTGTCATTAATAACTAACAATACACTTTTCCCACAGGGTTTGGTAGAGCCATGTCAGATGAAAATACACAGTTCTGTGGCAATTGGTAAGTATGAGTAGGGTACATTAAGTGATCATTCGATTTGAAATGGTGGTGAAAACACACCAGATCAGTAATTTTCTTTACCTTTGTAGCAAACATGATATTCCTGAGGCAAATTTTACTACCCATGAGATTCACTGTCGAAGAAACATTGCACTGTGTGATGTATGCCAGGAGCCGGTGCCCAGGTCAGACCTGCAGGAGCACAAACAGCAGGAGCATACACAGGTAATATCTGAACAGCAGTACTGGATTTAACATCATTTCTGCGATAGATGTGTACTGGTTTTAAGAGCAGGTCTAATACCAAAATGTTATCTGCAAAGCCTGGAACAGCCAATCAATATGTGTGAACATTAGTTTTTCTGTCCCAAAGCCAGGAACCAGTAAACTGTGACCTGAACCTCCTGACCTTTGTGATTTTTATGTCTCAGGAGTAAAAATGCCATTTATTTGTCACTTTCATTTCAGATTACATGCAAATGTGGTTTGAAGATTGAGAAGAATCATGTTGATGTTCACCAGGTATTTCTGAATTTCTTTTTCTTTCCCAATTTATAACTCTAACAAGGAACTTGATTAAATCTTCATATTGTGTTTTTTCACGATTGTTGTCTCTTTCAGAGCTCTGAATGTTCTCAGCGGCTGGTCCCGTGCCAATACTGTGAACTGGAGATTGTTTTCAGTCAGTCCAAAGAACATGAAGATTATTGCGGTACACGCACTGAGCCCTGCTCAAACTGCAAGTGCAATGTAATGTTGAGGGAACAAAATGTGCATCCAGTCTTATGTCCAAGCCTCACACCACCCCAGGAGAGGAACAATAGCCGGACAAGTCGCAGTTCAGTAGAACCGCAGTCTCCGGGACCATGGTTTGAAGCCCATTCCATCCGAAACCTTCTAGGAGCCCAAGAGAGAGGCCCAAAGAATAATAACATCAGTGCAGCAGAGCAACAGGGATTTCCCCACCCATTTGATACCAGAGTTTATAACACTTCAGGGGGACCTCAAGGATCAGGAGACTGGAAGAATTCTGCCCCTAGAAATACATTTAGCCACAGTGAGTTTATCAGTGACCTACTGATTATTAATTTTCCTGTTGGGGGGAAAAAAGTGCCCACCAGGCTTATTGGACAGAAAATGTAGCGATGAAGAACTGTATAAGCCAGTTAAAGATGTCCTTTGGAGTTTTCTTGTTATGTTTACATCCAGTGTTTCTTACCAAAAAAGGTGTAATAGACATGTAGAATGTATTTCTTTCCCATAAAACATTTGTTAAGCTGATTTTTAAATGAATAATTTGAAGCATGCATTGTTTACACACATCTTTTGTTCCTAGATGTTTTCTTTACTCCCTTTGAGGGCCCATTGTTACACTTCTTTGAGTTACTGCCACCAACTGTCAATCAGTGGAATAACTTGAAACCAGCTGCAAGAATGTGTATTGCGATGTTTGTGTCCTGTGCATCATACAAACAACACTTTACACACTTGTAAAAACATTGCTCACTGCTAGTGGTAAAAAAAAAACAACCCATGCCTTTTTTAAACTTCCCTTTCTTGTATAGTATCACCAAATTTGCTTCATACTTCAAAATTTGAGTCTGTAACAAAGATATGACTGTAAGTGTTACTGTCAACCTTTCTCGTATGCAATCATTTGCAGTAGATGCCCCTGGAAACAGAGGGCCAAAGAACACATTGTATATGTTGCTAACATTGATTCTGTTTATTCAAACTCTGAGGTTTGCTTGACCAGCAACCAGCAACTTTTTATTACCAAAGTGGTCGAAACAAATTAAGGGTTTGTCAAGAGAATAAACAGAACAAATCCTAAAACATTTAAATATCTTTTCTCCCAATTTTGTTCTTATAGACTGGAACTACGTTGCTGTCCTGCTTGCAGCTGTAATTATTCTTTTCTGAAATAACAGTATAATTGTTTTTTTTTCTCTCCTTTTTTTTCTTGCAGTGCTGGAGCAGAGGGATTTTCTGACCAGCAGCAGCAGCAGCAGTACATGGCCTCATAGTGAGCTCACCCTTGATGAGGATTCATCAGGCCTGGACTACATGTTGGCTCTCAGCCTGCAGAGTGATGGAGAATCTGTGGCTGGAGGTGTAGAGGGCAACGTGTGGAGTGGTATCTGGGACCACAAGTTTGGGAAGACATTTAACACCTCTGTAAACTCTTCACTCTCTCTGCCCAACAACAACTACCCACACTTCACTACCAGCACAAGTACAGTCCAGGAACATGATCAAACAGGTAACCAGTGGTGTAAGAAGTACTGCGATCTTTTACTTAAGTAAAAGTAGCAATACTACATTCTAAAAATACTCTGCTACAAGCTAAAGTCTTGCATTCAAAATCTTGCTTAAGTAAAAGGACATAATTATCAGCATCAACATACACGTCAAGCACCAAAGTAAAAGTATTCATCATTCAGAATGGCCGATATTAGAATCGTATATACTACTGGATTATGATTATTGATGCATTAATGTGTAAGCATGTTCCAGGAGGTAAAGGTGGGGCTAATTGTAACTATATTCTGCCACGCATCTTAATCTATAATAATACATCACTATTAACATGCATCGCGAGTGATGTTTCCTAGGGTCGTTGGGTGTTCGTAAAATGGAAATACTCAAGTACCTCGAAATTGTTCTTAAGTAAAGTACTTGAGGGGATGGACTTGGTTACATTCCACCATTGCACCAATATTTGGATATAAATTCTTTGTTATATTGCCTTGTTAATGATTTTAAATTGTTTTTTCAGATACCATGCTGCCTTGTGAGTTTTGCGAAGAGCTGTTTCCTGAAGAGGACCTCATTTTGCATCAGGTTAGAGATGTGATGCTATTCTTCTGGTTAAACTGTTCAGGGGGTTGGCTCATGGTGCTAGGCGGCTAACTACATAGTAAGTAATTAAAAACAGACCAATCAAATAAAAACATACAGCAATAAATAGAAAACAAGACAGTTAAGCACGACTGTCCCTAAACACACTGAAACACCAAAGGGGAAAAAAATAAGTTTTAAGACGAGATTTATATGCGTCTTTATTGGGGGATGACCTGATAATAAAGGAAAAGTTATTCCACACTCTTGGGGTCACAACCAAAAAGGCAGGCTCACCCTTTGTTTTCATCCAAGACACTGGAATGGCTAAAAGGAACTGGTTTAATGATGTAAGGGGCCTAGATGAGTGATAAAACATTAAGAGATCTAAAATATACGATGAAGCCGGTCCATGTAATTCCCTAAAAAAAACATAAACAGCACCTTTAAAATATTTGACTGGTAACCAGAGAATTGAGGCCAATATCGGGGAGAGATCCTCACAGCAGTCAATAATCTAGCAGGAAATATAGAGGAAATATTTCCAATATTTAAAGAAAAGGTTCTATCTTTCAAATAGGAGTGAAACCACTGTAGAGCAACACCCTAGAAACCAACCCCTTAGGTCAAGCAAGGGGAAAATAGCACAATTTCCAGAATCACATAGTAACAAATCATTCAGTACCTTAAGAAGTGCTGTTTCTGTGCTATGATGTACTCCAAACTCTGACTAAGGCAGTGTTTCTCAACGAGGGTTGTACCGCCAACCAGGGGGCGTTCAGAGTATGATGGGGGGCGCTGGAAGCAATAGGGTTAAGGCGAGTTTACCCCAAAGAATCACAACAATGGGATTTTGAACTTTCAACTACTTTCAAAACAACTGCAACATTACAGCCAGTTTACGCCACTGCGACTGGGCCCAGCTTTGTGCTGCCTTCACGGGAAGTCAGAAGATCATCTGTAAAATTTCACCCACCACGGAGTTTAAGTTAACGTGTATATTGTGGTGAGATTTCTGCCTGATAACAGGTCTTCTCGGTTAGTTTTGCTGTCGCACTGATTGAGCATCTCCTCGTCTCATCCAGTTCTGTGTCTGTCAGACGGTTGAGGGGATACTACTAGCGAAGCAAAATTCTCATTAAATGATAACGTTTGTCTCGTAAGATTACGACTTTTTTTCTCGACATATCGGAGAACACAGAAATGTGGGAGAGATTCTGAATGTGCAAAAAGTTTATAACATGAGCTGTTATGATATAAGTTATTAACAGATGAGCTAATAAAGTCCTGTCAATAACTGAATTAAAATAGATTAATTTATCACTGAGATGAAAAGGGGCCACAAACACATTTACATTACATTTATTCATTTAGCTGACGCTTTTATCCAAAGTGACTTACAATTGCTATTTATGTCAGAGGTCGCAAGCCTCTGGAGCAACTACCAGCTGGATAATGCACCATGTCACAAAGCTCGAATCATTTCAAATTGGTTTCTTGAACATGACAATGAGTTCACTGTACTAAAATGGCCCCCACAGTCACCAGATCTCAACCCAATAGAGCATCTTTGGGATGTGGTGGAACGGGAGCTTCGTGCCCTGGATGTGCATCCCACAAATCTCCATCAACTGCAAGATGCTATCCTATCAATATGGGCCAACATTTCTAAAGAATGCTTTCAGCACCTTGTTGAATCAATGCCACGTAGAATTAAGGCAGTTCTGAAGGGGGTCAAACACAGTATTAGTATGGTGTTCCTAATAATCCATTAGGTGAGTGTAAGTGCTATTCACATAACATAGTAATAAATATATTTGTAATTCATTTATGTGCTTTTTTATATGTTTTTAATAACAATAGTTAATAATAATATAATAATCATCATCATCAACAATTTCTTTTAGGGCAAATAGCCAACATCTTTTTGATGGGGGCGGTAAGGGCCCTGGATAATGGATAGGGGGGCTCTGGCCCAAAAAAGGTTGAGAACCACTGGACTAAGGCTACGTTCAGACTGCAGGCCTTAATGCTCAATAGGGGTGGGAATCGCAGGGTACCTCACAATACGATACACGGCTCACGATAATGATAATATCACAATACAGCAATTCTGCGATAATCGCTTGACAATCCTAAAGTGATACATCACGATATCTGTCTAACTATTAATACAAAATGCCCGTGAAAAAGTTTAGTATTTATTTGCTGCAAATCCAAACTGTTAGAAAACAGCACAATTCTGCTCAGTCTGTAAATAAAACTACAGAGCAACTATGAAAAATGATCAAAACATTTGTTCATAAAAAGGCACATAAAATGCATATTCACTGATTTTTTTTTTTACTGCAGATACAAATTGCTCTCTTTTATTTCAGAGCTCAGGAAACATGTACTTTAAGTATTTGCGCAGTATGTCACTGAAGATGTTCAGCATGTGGAGCAAAACGTATAGTTTATGTTAAGATTGTATTTTCGCGATGCTAATGTCCGTTGGAGATTCCCATTATATGTTAGCATTGAGCGCTATTTTTTTATTAATATTGTGTATCAATATGATGGGCTGGAATATCGATACAATATCATGGAAAAATGTACAACGATATATTGCTGTATCGACTTATTGTCACACCCCTAATACTCAATTCCAATTTTTTTCCCAGATCCGATTTTTTTGTTTGACAGTTCACATTATTCTTTAAATGCGGTCCAAATCAGACTCCAATGTGTACTGTGCAGAAAAATAACAGGAGGTCACATGCAGCACACTGTTGTACAGAAGTAAACAGAGCCACAGAGGTTAGCTCCGGTTAGTATACTTCCCTAACCCTCCGGATTTTCACGGGAGACTCCTGTTTATCATTGTCCTCTCATGGGTCACATTTCTCCCAAATTATGACAAGTGTTCACAACTTTCTGTTCGTTTCATTAGTCATCAGTCACATCAATACCCGAGTGTCCAGGTTCAGCTCAAATATATGGAAAAGATCAGATTCCATGTGACTTGGCGTGTTCACACTGTCATAAAAAGATCAAATCTGAGTTACATGTGGGCAAAAAAAATCAGATTTGGGTCACATTGACCTGCAGTCTGAACGTAGCCTAAGAGTTGAACACAATATTTTCAGTTAAAAATGAAGAGAGCTGAGAAGGAACAGTTTGTCAACCCTGGCCAATAAGGATCTAGTCCAGTGGTTCTCAACTTTTTTTAGGGCCAGCATCTAAGGGGTAACCCTAACCCCTAACTCTACAACGTTCAGGCTGCAGGTGACAATTAAAAATATAAAAATATACCAGAATATGATGCACTAAGGCTCTCAGGCATTCTTTATTGCTTTTTAAATAGTTTTTCTCCTGAAAAGCTATCCCACAGAGCAGGTGTTCTCTAATATATTAAGAAAAAAGTCATAATATAAGAGACTAACAACATCATTTCATGAGAATTCATAAAAGTTTTACTACCTGCCCTATACTCTGCTGTGCATTAGCCTGCGTTCGGTCACAAACTCGTGGCGCAACGTGGGTCCATTTGATTACTATCACGGCAATTGCTGGTGTCGCATCAGGTGCTGGATCTATGTGCTGGATGCTGGGCGCTAAGTTGCTTTCAGGGAAAGAACAACAGGGGAATATACCTTTTGTAAATGGGTAACCACTGCGATAACAAGGCAGGCACAGTTTATCCCTCAGAGAAATGAACAGGTTTAAGAGAGAAATTCTTTCACGCATACTAGAAAGAAATGGAGCGTCCATTTTACAGAGTTTACACAGTAAACGCTATGTGGGTGAATTTTTACAGATGATACTCTGACTTCCCCATTCCTGTAAATTCAGCACAGAGCTGCTCCACAAGAAGCTGGCCACAACACTGAAGAGACACAAGACACCGTCTTGTCCAGTCGCAGTGGAGTTAACTGGCAGGTTTTAATGTTGCAGACCACAGTTTTTATACTTGGTCTAAAGTCGCCTTAAAACAAACGCTTCATTATTACACAACATTATTTGAAAATGAAATTAAAAATAATATCGTACTGAGGCATGGTGTGCTCTAAACATGTAAACAGCACACCTACAAACGAAACAATGTCACTGTGCTCACATTATCCTGATATAGACCAATGCACTACATTCACAATACATTGAGAAGTGGCCTAAAAAAAGACTGCCGTGTGTCACATTTATAGACTTGAAGAATCTTGGCTTTCAGTCATAATAAGGATCTTCAATTTAGTATTTGCTGATTTTTTTCCCCCTAAGCTTGTATGTGCAGATTCATTAGCTTTTCTGTTTTTACATGATATTATCAGTCCACCCTGTAGACACCTTTTTGTTTTCTGGACTAAAGAGCCTGTGATCCCAGTGACATCATAATCTAATACTAGTTCTGCTTTGAGAATTCATGTCCATATTCAAGTAAAATATACATATAATGTTGGAGGAAATACTTGCCCAGCTGACACAACACATCACTTGAAAAAAGGAGGGCAGACAGTTTGTAATTCCAGGTCAGTACATTATATCTGCATACATGACAAGAGCGAAAACTACAATCATAACCTGACTGACACACCCTGTTCTCTCTCCCTACTGAAATCAGGATTTGCTGACGTTTGAAAATATTTTAACCTGATTCTAGACCCACGTTACCGCACTGTGAGCTACTTGTTTTATCATGGTGCTTTCTGTTTTTCTTCTGAAACCTGTCTAAAGGCTGTGAATCTGTGTATGGACAAATCTAATCAGTAAAATGCTCAGATCCAGTCAGATATCACATGGCATGCAAATATGTGCATGCCCTTCTTTATCTTTGTTTCAGATAGTTCACGGTCCAGTCACAGCCTTTGTCTGTTTGAACACTAGCAGGGACATGATGACTTGATTTAAGCAGGTTTAAGGTAGATTGCAACCTTTTGTATTCCTTTCAGACTGGGTGCAGCCCCGCCTCTGCCTTTGCGTCCTATAGCAAGCATCCCACGTCTCCACCTAAAGAGGACCGGATGAGCAGGAACGCATCAGGGCTGATGCACAATGTCCCTGACACACTCGCTTCAAACATCCCCACTTTCCATCGGTCGGTCTCCCCGGCCTCCTATAGTCCTCCAGCCAGTCCACTAGAGGGCGATGTGGTTATTCCATGCGAATTCTGTGGCATTGCTCTAGAAGAGGCTGTTGTCTTTCACCATCAGGTTTGTAATTGTCACCAAACACACAAGGTAACCAGTCTTAACAGTATTGACATGTCGCGAATGATTGTTAAGTACGTTATTGTACTGCTTGTGAGGAAAGGAAAATTATTTTAGAAATGTGGCAGTATTATTGAAAAGAGATTTCCACATTATGACCAGAACAACCAGCTTGTCATGAAGGTTTAATATTAAACACAAATATTTACCGTGATGTTGATCAATGTGTATTTTCCCTGTAAAACTGATATATTTGTGCTAATGTTTTGTGATATTTTATTTTTTGTTTTTATATCTAGGACAAATGTGACATGCGTCCTCAGACTGCTCATCCACTGAATAATCTAACAAGAACATCTGTCAAAAAACCACTGAGTCCTGGAAAAGAGACCTTTAGCAGCATGTCTCCAGATTTTCAAGGAAGAGTAAAGCACCAAGGTAATGTGTAGAATTTATTTTAAATGTGTGAAATTAATATTAAACTCCATTTACCACCCCTGCGGTTGTATGCCCCCAGCAACCAGTCAAGTTGCAGTTTACATCCATGTCTTTCTAGACTCATTTAATATATGTAGTCAATATTGGAAGGAATTGAATAAAAAGGTATGAAGTGTATTTTTTGGCTAAATGGAAGTTAAGATGATACATATGTATGATTCCAGTGAATATATCCTAGATGTGTTGGCTAACACATGTACTTGATTACTATGTAAAGATGGATTGTTATAGAGTATAGCTACACAAGTTGTGGTGCTTTTGATTTCTCCTGGCATTTTTAGATATGAAGCCTCACTATGAGCTGCAGGTGAAACTCTTAGCTAGGCTCGTTCCACTACGTTGTTTGCAGTGACATCATTCTGATGGCGCTCGAAATTAATAATGAGGCAGCAAGTGAAAGGCAGAATGAAGGAAAGCCTGTACTGTGCTAGTCGTCGTTTACTCATTGTGTCGTCCCAGTCAACGTGTGAAATTTGGAATTCACCGAGTCATTCTTACATTATGACGAAAAACCTATTTTTGTTACAGTGACCTTTTGAGTTAAGAGTGCCGCCTATTCAGCCAACTGTGAAACTCTGGAATTAGTGGTGATTTTGTATTAGATTGCATTATATTGAAACATTTTTAAATATTTTACTTCCAAATGTACGTATATAAATTTGGGGTGGACAAGTATTTAACATCCAATTCAACATCACCACCAACAATAGCATAAACGTGCAACAGTCAACATCTCTCTGACAATGGCTGTTTTATTTTATTGCCTTATATTTTGGACGTTTTGTTGAAGTGTGCAGGAGTTATTCTTTGGTCATTGTAATGTGTGTTTAATTATGCAGATATTGTGTGTCCTGATCCACATATAGGTAACTTATTGGAGGAGGACTTTGGATTTGACAGAGACACACCACAAGGACAAAACCCAAGGGAATGGCAGAGAGGCTACATTGGACGACCAAGTCAAAGGAAGACGTCCAACTGTGATGTTTCTGTCACCACCAGACCACAGCATGGCAGGGAAGCAGAGGGGGCTCAGTCGTCTTTCTGTGACACTGAGAAGTCTGGTTCTGTATCTTTAAAGGGGTAAAAACAATGATCAAATCCTTGGAAACTCTAGTCTTTTTAATTTACTTTAATCTTTACTCCACCCATTCAATATTTCTTCATCATAATGATTTGTATTATTTTTAATGTTATTAGTATTGAGTTGAATGTGTTTCTCCATCAGACTACTACCAGAAAATAAAGAAGGGAGAGGGAACATAAGGAATCCAATGACAAAGGTACACTTCTTATTTCTATCTCATTTTGTCATTTTGTTGTTTGCTGAACATGATGGACGGTACAATGAAAAATGCATTGTCTGTAAGGTTGATGTCAAATATTTTGTTTGTATGTGGTCCAAGTAGAAACACAATTCCAACTTCTGTGCGTTCAAGTTCAAGGTGGGTAAAATATAGGCATGTGCACTAAAGTGTTTTTGGGGGTGTCCCATCAGTATACGGCCACTGCAAATATTTACCTAGACTTTGTGAATTCTGCTTAAGGGTGGATTTGCCTCCTAACATACTTTTCCATCCATAAAAAGACTTTCAATTGTATTTTTTCCTTTTGCAGTTGCCCAAGAAGCAGAATGAAGAGCAGGAGGAAGAGTGAGAGCAGGGACGTCTGGAGAAGTAGACAAACCAAATCTCATACTCTGCTTTTCATTTATCTTTTTGCACACTTTTGAAAATGAAACACATACCTATCTAATAAGTGCCTGTGTGAGTATTAGTATCTTGCAGTTTATATTTTCATGAATTCTACTATTCAAGTGTAAGTAAGTATTTTGGTTTATTCATGCATATTCTGCTTCATTTCAAGATTTGTTTCAAAGGTTTGTATGTCTAACATCTAGCCTTAACAGTTAAATTAAAAAATCAATTTTTATTTACAGTGATTTGAAGTTTTTTATTTTTAACCGTACAAGTCGTGTCATGGCTTATTAAGAACAATGAGAACATCAAACACAGACACATGACTTTGTCAGTGTAGATTTGTCTAACTTAATCTTTACCTTGTTGCTTTAGCCAAGGACAATTTGTTTTCTCCCCTGTTTGCCAGTTCCTTCCTGGTTTCTGCATCCTTATGTAACCTAAAGCACTTTGATAGATTATTTTGTTTAAAAAGGGCTTCAGGAACAGATTTGATAAATTTATGCATCTTTGACCAAGAAAAAAAAAACTGTATTATCGAACATTTGTCTTTTTATACTGTCTATCATTTGTCTTTAATACTCCTCAGTAATTTTGATTTTTTTTTTTTTTTTATCTTAACTATAGAACTCTATATATGTGCTGTTATGATGATGGCTTTTGAAACAGTGTCTCCTGTCCAATCTTCTTTTCATATAGTATGAAAAATGTTGTGTGCTGCTCCTCTAAATAGAATTTAAGATTGATAAGAAGTGTTTTGTGTGTAACATAGGGTCCACCTTAGAAATACATATAAAGTAGGCAAGTAGGCAGAGGTTGAGAGTCTTGAGAAATGGCAGAGCATTTTCTTGATTAAAACCTGATCAACAAGCTCAACTAGTGAGGAGCAAGTAATCAGTGAAATCACCTGGTGTGGTGTTTTGATGGACTGTAGGCACTCATAGCACATGGCTTACTACTCCTGTTTAAGAACAACTTTCTTGATGCCCTTTGTCTTGTGTGGCTATTAAATGTTTAATGATAACATTCATGGTTTTTATTTTGTGTTCAGTCAGTGTTGTTTCATACATCCTTCTATGTCTAGCTCACCCCAGTTCGCCAGTCATAATACCGAAACCCTACATAGAAGTAAAGCTAAAAGATATTTTTTTAATACCAAGATTACAAACAACTTAATCACTTCATTTGTTTCCTGCCTTGTTAACTTCTTATCTTATCTGGTGCCCTTTGTGTGAGGGGTGACTAAAGACTCTAAAGAGCAGAACTAGCTTCGATAACTGCTGCTGTTTTGAATGTATTTGATGTGGCATCAGAGTATAGATACTTTACAGTCACACCATGATCAAGCAAATGTGTATTGTGATTATTATTAACTTTACATGACTGAATATGAAGTTTGGAAAAACCTGAATCTTGGTGAACGAACCATTAATCATACATGAAATAAGCTCCAATACATGTTTTTGATCACAAAGTTGTATTTCTGTCACTGTTAATGTCACATAATGAGGAAGTGATGCATGCTTTTGCATAATAAGGTAGTAGCACCTTAGACCTTTAGTATGTAAAGCCTTAATGGTTATGGAAAGAAATACAGAAGTTCTCTTTTGATTTGTTCATTTATCACAAGACCAATTACTGAATGTCTTATAAAAGGCTGAAGAAAAAAACATTGTACCTATTATAATGTTGGAAAAAAATACACTTCACTGTCTGGTCATTAAAGGGAAACTACCTTAAAGTATGATTCATGTTTGATATTTATTGACTAAATCAAAAACACTTAAAAAAACAGCTAACATGTTTTTGTTATTGATGGATTTTTGAAGATCGTGTCTTCAAAACCAAGCAGCGAATGCATTTACTTTTGAATTACTAAGTGTAGGCGGCACAAAAAAACAAATGCAAATAGAGCCCTCTTGTTTTTATAAAATACAGTAGACATGGTCGCCTTCAGGGGTGGAGAAAAAATGGTATTGCTGTGTTTTCCAGATTCTAATTTCCTTATACTTTCTAGGAAGTTTCATGAAAATAACTCTGTAATCTGTAAGTTATAAGGAAATTGGACACAATGTTTTGAGACAGTTATTTAGTTTGTGGTGTTGAGTTTATAAGCAATTCCATCCATCCATCGTCAACCACTTATCCTGCGTACAGGGTCGCGGGGGTGCTGGAGCCAATCCCAGTTTATAAGCAATTTTTTTAAAGAAAAAAAAGAAAAACTTTACATATGAAAACAACATTTGTCTTTGGTGTCCGAGTGGTGGATGCTACCAAGGTAAGATAAGATTAGACTTTACTGATCCCCTGAGGGGAAATTCGGTTGTTGTAGCAGCACCAGGGCAGAAATAAGTACAGACAGATAAAACATAAACAATAAATAGATAAAAGTAAAACAATGAGATATGAAAGCTATCTATATATAAAAAATAGAACTATGCAAGTCAAAATTACAAGGTAAAGTGACACAAGACGAATATACTATTTTAATTCTATTCTATGTCTATGTTAATACAGTGAGCACCTCTCCTTTGCTGAGATAATCCATCCACCTCACAGGTGTGCCTTAGGCTGGCCACAATAAAAGGCCAGTCAAAAATGTGAAATTCCATCACCCAGCACAATGGCACAGCTGTTGCAAGTTTTGAGGGAGCTTGCAATTGGCACGCTGACTTGCTGACTGCAGGAATGTCAACCAGAGCTGTTGGCCGTGAATTAAATGTTCATTTCTCTACCATAAGCCGTCTCTATAGGCGTTTCAGAGAATTTGGCATCATGATATGCCACACCTGTGAGGTGGATGGATTATCTCTGCAAAGGAGAAGTGCTCTCTAACAGATTTTGACAGATTTGTGAACAATATTTGAGAGAAATAAGCCATTTGTGTACAGAAAGTCTTCATGATGAATGGGTGCAAAAAGTGTTGCATTTATAATTTTTTTCAGTGTATAATACAATTATGTAATGATACTTAGTGTATGTGTGTATTAATATAGAAATAGAATATAATGTCATTAAACTGTATAAGACAACATAGTAAAGGCTTTAATATAGTAAGCTATGATATAGTATGGGATGTAAGATATACAGTATCTCAAAAGTGAGTGCACCCCTCACATTTTTGTAAATATTCTTCTTTTCATAACACTGAAGAAATGACACTTTGCTACAATGTTAAGTAGCGAGTGTACAGCTTGTATAATAGCGTAAGTTTGCTGTTCCCTCAAAACAACACACCAGCCATTAATGTCTAAACTGCTGGCAACAAAAGTGAATACACCCTTAAGTGAAAATGTCCAAATTGGGCCCAATTAGCCATTTTTTCATGTGACTCAGTGTTACAAGGTCTCAGGTGTGAATAGGGAGTGGGCGTGTTCAGTCTGTCAGCGCTGAGACCATAGACCATACACTGCATCAAATCAAAAAGGGGTGATGATGGCGCAATGGATAAGAGTGTGAGAGACCCGGGTTCAATCCCCCACTGTGACCCACCCACCATTGTGTCCCTGAGCAAGACACTTAACCCCTCGTTGCTCCAGAGGCGTGCGACCTCTGAGATGTATAGCAATTGTAAGTTGCTTTGGATAAAAGCGTCAGCTAAATGAATAAGTGTAAATCGGTTTGCATGGCTGTCATCCCATCCTGTGATCCCAGCCTCTTCTAAAGAATGCACAAGAAAGCTGGCACACAGTTTGGTGAAGACAAGCAGATTAAGGACATGGATTACTGGAACTATGTTTTGTTTTCTGAGACCAAGATAAACTTATTTGGTAGACAAGTGTCTAGCCTACAGTTAAGCGTTTTGGTTTTAGTGTCATGGTCTCGGGCTGCAAGAGTTCTGCCTGCACTGGGGAGCCACAGTTCACTGTGGGAACCATGAATGCCAACATATACTGTGACTTACTGAAGCGGAGCACAATCCCCTCTGATGGCCACACTAGCAGCCACAAATGGAAACAACTACTCAGGGTGATAACTCATTTGTTTTGAGCACATTACATATTATACAAAATAACTGGACACACTCTAGTTTTAAAGTTTTATTAGTTATTTGACTTAGTTTTCTATTTGGGTGCACACATTTAGTTAGCTTTGTCAATTTAACTAATTTCAGGTTCATTATCTTTAAGTTACGTTCTGTGAAATTAATACCTTTCTTTTTGAGTTACCAGTTCATGGGGAGTTGCTGCTGGGGAGTTGCTGCTGGGGTGTTGCTGGCTGGCTGACAGACAAAAGGGTTTCCAACAGACTCTAAGCTGTTTAAGTAGGGGAATGTATAATTGGATTGCACCATGTTTCCCATATCATGGGGGTGGCAGAGTATTCCATTTTTGAGTTGTGTTCTTTTCTTCTTCTTCTTTTGTTGTTATAATTATTAGTTCACATTAGGTAGTTGCCTTAAAATGTGATGTAGTTATTGTGGTTTGTTTATACAGTGTGTTTTTGTCTACCCCCTTTGTGTCAGAATGGCCTGATCAGCCACTATATTAGTTTCCCCCACATCTCAGTCTCCTTAGGTCTGTTTTGTTTAGTTTATGTTAAGGTTATGTTACCTGAGTTAAGTTCTGTTTAGTTGACCTCTTTCATGGGCCTAGAATTTTTGTGCTTTGTAAATAAAAAAATATTTTTTTGAAACTTACTTTCTTACTCCTCATGCCTGACAGCTTGGTCCCTCACACCTCCCCCTCAGAGACTAGGCCACAGGGCAGTATTCCAACATGATGATGATCCCAAACACACCTCCAAGACAACCACTGTCTTGCTAAAGAAGCTGGGGGTAAAGGTGATGGACTGGCCAAGCATGTCTCCAGACTTAAACCCTACTGAGCATCCATGGGGCATCCTCAAATGGAAGGTGGAGGAGCGCAAGGTCTCTAACATCCACCAGCTCAGTGATGTCGTCATGGAGGAGTGGAAGAGGACTCCAGTGGCAACCTGTGAAGCTCTGGTGAACTACATGCCCAAGAGGGTTAAGGCCGTGCTGGAAAATAATGGTGTGGCTACACAAAGTATTGACACTTTGGGCCCTATTTGGACTTTTTCACTTAGGGGTGTACTCCCTTTTGTTGCCAGCAGTTTAGACATTAATGGCTGTGTGATGTGTTATTTTGAGGGGACAGCAAATTTACACACTCAGTACTTTACATTGTAGTAAAGTGTAATTTCTCCAGTGTTGTCACATGAAAACCTATAATCAAATATTTACAAATACGTGAGGGGTGTACTGACATTTGTGAAATACTGTACATGCAGTATAAGGTGTAAGCTGTAACTCACAATCCTTACAACATTAACAATGAAAACTAATAAATGTAGAGATAATTACAGAATATAAAAACATTGAGTATTCCTGCTTGATGAAAGTATTAAAACGGAGTCTGCTTCCATGAAAATCTAACGGAATAATGCCTTTATGTGAATTTCCACATAGATCTTCAATGGCAGACGGTGGCACTAATCACCCCTCATACCTGGAGGCTATTCTGCGTCGTCCCACAGAGCGGCGCGCTTTGAATGAGCGCCTGGAGAAGCCGGGGACACAGAGGGGCGGGCTTACACCTTTTCAGTGGGAATCCTCTGTTCAAAAAAGCTGCCAACGTCCTCTTGTAAGACAGTGTGGGCTTGCTTTCTGCTTTCACTGCAGCTCACGAGACAACAGAAGACCGAATTTCGAAATATGCTCACCATAAGCGGAGCACGGGCTTATTTTATTTTAGACTCTTAGGAGGTTTCTGACTTTAACTGCGCTGAAGATTGAGACAGACCGCACTGAGGGGAAAAAAAGACACAAAACAAGCTACAACTCGTGCAGGTGGTAGACCATACATTGACCGGGGAACCAGCTCACACTCGCCATCCACACCTTTTCGTCTCACCTGAGCCTGACAAGAAAGATTAAAATGTCCGTCGAGAGTTATTCGGCGCTGGATGAGTCCTCTCTCCGAGCCTTGGTGAGTAGATGAAGGGAGATGCTCTGAACTAAAGTTACACTGTGGTACTGCTACCTGCCTCGGAAAGACGGGGTTTTTAATTAATAAAACATTCGGATGTAAATCAGTTTATCAGCATTATCTTTAGTTTGCATCCTGTAGCCTAACATCATATGGATTTGCATCAGAATGGTTAATTCCTTTATTTTACAAGGATGTTACTGATACAAAATTATACCTTGATTCAAGGGTTATAGTACAATAACATATTATAACATCCTTTTTTGACATTACTGTTATTTTCATGGCATCTCTCTCCTTTGATAATTCATACATGACATGATAATCCTGACAGGTGGTCTGCACACATACAGTGCTTCTTGTGGTTTTGTGTGCTTTTTACAGGCCATATTACATCCTCAGTGTAGACCTGAAACAACTGCAAGGAAACTAATATAACCATAGACTGTATATAACTGATTAATTGTTTCAGTTTCTTTTTTTATATATCATTGTTTAAATATATTTAGGTTTTTGACTATTGTTTGGACAAACTAAGAAATCTGAGGTCACCCTGGGTCTAAGGAATTTTAATGGGCATTTTTAATTAATTTCACAGAATAAACAATCAATTGAGAAAATAATTGTTAGTTGCAGATGTAATAAAGTGTGTCTGACAGTCAGTTGTCAGATGGGTCATTGTAAAAAATAAAACAAGCAATTTGAAGATGTCACCCTGACTTTACACACTAAACGATCAATCCGATAACCAAATAAGTAACTGACAGATTGATCAAACCTCTATTATTATTATTATAAAATTGTGAATGAAAGTAACATTAATTTCATTTGTCTGTGAGTCACATTGATATGTTACGTTTTCTGAAGTAGACATTATGTCACGAGGGTGAGCAGCAAATCAATAAGAGAACATGAACATGTACAAAAAAAGGAGACTTCCTGGTTCACAGTCGCATTAGTCATTACCTAATTATTCCCTGAAGCAGAGGAAGATGAGACATTTGCCTGTCTGACATTTATCATGACACCTGTAACACAGACAAGGACACATGAGTCATCCTGTCCTTTAGACTAACGCTGTCTGAATCACATTTACACATACCCAACAATTGTTCTTGAAACATCTGGTTAATACCTTTACTGTGGTTTTTCATTCTGGAATAATAATTAATATGAATGTATAATGAACAAGAAGTTTATGTCATTCAAGTTGGGGTGAAATACGGTGGTGTTGTCAACTTCTGTCCGATTGAACTACAGTGTTCAAACTACTGCATCTGATTTTAACATAACTTCTAAAGTCATTATCTTCACCAGTTGCTTTCCCAAGAGTGCTTTAAGAAGAGGTCATCTCAGAAAAAACATTTTGATTTCTGTTCTTAAAGCTCAGTAAACCTGACTAGAAAAGGCTGTTTACCTTGGAACAAGGCACGGTACAAAAGTAATGTTTTGTTGACCTGCCTGAGACTATTTAAACCGTATAAACACAGCCAGACCTTTATTTCCCCAAAGTCTGGAATCATCTGGCCAAGAGCTTTCTTCTCATAAATCACTTAAAGGCCAAACTTTTATCACAAGTGACATTATAACCGCGGGAAATCAGGAATATATCAAGGAAATAATATTCTTCTTTCAGCATAATGATTTCCTTTTAAGCAGAGTATTGGTTGATTTTGATTTGTACATATATGAAATACAGCGTTAAAATGAATAGGAAGCAGGAGGGATTAAAAATGGCTACTACAAAGTTTGCCAGTGGAAAGAATAAAGACATAGTTTTCTAATACTGTCTTGTAGTTTTACATTTTATTGAATAGAGCTCCAGATTTACAGGTGTATGTGAGTCAGAGGACTTACACTGCCTTTTTATTTCAGAGATGTTTTTGTAATAATTGTATTAAGATGGACCTCATTGTTTTTCGAGAAACCAAGCTTTGTCCGAATCTTCTAGTGCGGCACGAATCCTAAGAGCTCGCTGTAAAAATGCTGGCATTGTCTAGAGAGCTGCAGCAGCAGCAGAATCATATGTATCATGCAGACATTGGAATTTGTGGGGTTTATCATCAAGTCATGCTCAACACATTACTGGGGTAGATTTAAAATGCCTCCTCTCCTTAGTGCTGAGCGTCTTCCCCACAGCTCCCCACCCTCAGATGTGACCACCAGCTATAAGGTCACCAAGATCCCACATCTTCACTGATGGTGTTTGTGGTGACTCGAGTGTCAGGGTTTTCCACAGTCAACTTGGTTTCAAAGGAAACAAACTCTGATTAAACTTCATATGGGGTTGGAATTTGAAATTCTGCTCCCCAGAGACATGAATGGAGCCTTTTGTGTTTAGTTTTTATGAATTCTTAACACTCTATTCTGTGGTGTTTTATATTCAGTGATTGTTGAGGAGTGAATTAAGAATTGTATTTCAGCACACCAGTAAAAGATGATGGACATTCAGAGATGCCCAGGCTTAATTAAACTGGTAGTAAAGCCGGGTGGAGGAGCTTCTGTTAAACAACAGTCGGTTAACAAACACTTACTCCAGGCTTTTGTGGTACTTAATGAACCAAACATTCAGAAGGTCATATTGCGGCCTCTCTAACGCCACTAATCCCATCTCTACACTTCTATTCAAAGCCCAGCCTGTCTTTTATATTGCTCATTTAAGCCCTCCATGGCAACCAGGAAAAGCATTTTTCTTTTCTCTCAGCTACCACAATTATTTAAATATCCACAAAAACAATCAGTTGGTGTCCCATTTTTTTTTTGTTTGGTTTTTTTTGGGAAAGGACATTTGTTGCGGGTCATCTGTCTGAACGGTGCTCAAGATCTGTGGACACAAAGACAAAAACAGCCGTGGCCAGTCGGCAGGAAAGCCCTTTCCAACCAAACCACTCCAACCACTATCACTTAAAAATAGATTTTATCAGCTGATTGCCAGCTCTGAGGTTGATGATTATCAGCTGTGTGGCAGTTCTTTCCTGTGCATGTCAAACCTGCAGGATGAACCAGGTGCATAGGTGTCTGTTGTTGTGGCATTGTGCACCTGTCTCCATGGATAAGAATAAGGTTTGACTTAAGCCTGTCTGTCAGCCACACCGTGATCTCCCTTCTAATTATCTCTGAAACCCCGTCCCTGCTGCGATGCTTCATCAGACATTTGCAGGAAAAGTCAAAATGTCAATATATGCATGAAATCCTATTGTCTTTTTACAGTTTATGGTCTGCTAATGCACAAGTCTGTTTTATCCTTTATAAATTGACATGACCGCTTAGAGACTTTTCCGTCTGTGGCGCCTGCTGGGCTGATTTCACATGCAGCATGTCTCTCATAATGATTTGTAACTAGTCTTGCCAGCCCCGTGACTGTCCTTTCTCCCTGGTGAGCAAGAAGCATTCACACATGTTTAAAATAGGACAATTTTACTCTGTGGTCCAGCCTCGTTGATATATGGGACCCCTGGGCCTTTGTTTTATGGCTCTCTGGACCCTTTGTGCGTTGACAAGGGCTCAACGGTTACAGTCTGAGAGGAAGAATGGGTTTGTTTTGTAGGCTCTCTGTACAGTCCCAGCTTCTCTTTGCCCCCCAGAGACATGGTCCAAAATGTCAGCCTCATCATCAGGAACAAATAAATTGGAAAGATTACGCTGGATTATATAACTATATAAAAAAATGTCTGGGACATTTTCTATGTGTTTGTTTTTTTTTATGTTGTCTCACATTAAATACAGTATTTCTTTAGAAATGTATTGTTTTCTCATTTTGATTGTAGGGGTTAGGTTTAGTAAGTAAAAGTTTGGGTTCTGGACAGTTGGTCAGACAAAATAAAGCATTCAAAAATGGTGCCATGTGGGAAATTATAACTGGAGTTTTCCCACTATTTTGTAGACAAAACTATGAACTGAGAAAATAATCATCAGATTAATTGAAAATCATCATTAGTTGCAGCCCTAAAGTAAACTTTCAAGAGAAAGTCTGAAATTGCAGGATAATGATGCTGCAAGACTTGACTTGAGCCTCGTCAACAATATTGAAAACGATTTTACTTTCTTCAAAGAGGCTGCAGAATATTTTGGATACAAGCTGTTGCATGCAACAGATCTTCCTTTTAATACAGCTCCCCCGCTCCTTGCCACACACTCTCAAGGAAAAGTCTTAAGTGTTTTATGCTCCTGACCATTGATAACACCTGCTACTTCTGTGTTTATGCTGCCAGTTATTGGTGGACATAACTGCCTCTGACCTTTTAGTGGGTGTTTTTGTAAGTGTTTTTCTCCTCTGGAGGGAAACAAAAGTCATTCAGGCTCTAAACTACAAGCACAGCGCTCACAGTGTACACCTGATTATTTGTTTCTGCAGAGCCTGTCATCATTCTCACAGCTATTTACTCCCTTCACATTTCCACAAATCATTTCCTGTTTCAAAGGTGTCAGTGAGGCGGTAATGAAGAAATGCAACAGTTAATCATTCGGGGCAGTTTTTCCTTCTAAACTGACACTTGAGAAACTGAGTTATCTCCGCTCTTGTGGTGACAGTATGTTGAGTTACAGCCTGCAGACTTCAGCCTCTGACAGTGAATATCCAAACAAACAGCCAGGGAGCAGAGAGATAAGAAGTCACTTGCTTGTTTGATAAAACAGGAAACATTTGTTACTGGATGTTACTATAAATAGCATTCCATTTTTAGGCTCTGAAAGGATGAGAAAAGAAAAGCAGTGGACTTTGAGATGATGTGCATATAAACTCTTTTTATGGTCGGTGGCCTTTAAACAGTTTGTTGCTCCAAAACAATAATTCGGAAGAAGTAGAGCACTCTTATGTATTTCACCAAACATTTGGTCCACGTTTAAAGTTGAAAATGAGTTCAGTGTGTCGTATTTCCTTACTGAGGAAGATACACGGTATTGTTTTGTCATTTTGAAGTGTGGGATACTTTAGAAACATAAGCTGGCATTTGAATATGAGGAGCAGTATTTTGTTAATTAACAGAATACCAGGCGCTGTT